TTCTTCTAAAATCCTTTTTTCAAAAAATGCAAAGTAATGATGAACATCACATTAAGCATTAAGCTGATTTAGTGATCCAAGCGGCAAGATGTCGTAGCACCGGAATGATTGTGTGTTTCATTTGCCAGACACTGAGTAATGCACATTACGACATTACCCTTCTGCAAAGTAAAGCTGCCCGAGTTCATTCATTCTAGATTTTTTCACTCGATAGTTAGCACAAATTAACCTTGCTGTTGTAAGTTATAATTCAATATTCACACCAATACATCAATATGCGTTCATCAGCCAGCATTTTCTGGCTTGGTATTGCTCAGCGTGCTCTTCATGATCTCCTGCAAAAGTATAGCTTGTTTTTGTCCAATAAGCTCTTTTAATTTTACTTTTCCTTGCTGATAAGTGAGCCAGACCAACTTGCGTTTATCAACCAACATTTCCTAAATTCAACTTGATATCAATATTGCTCAGGGCTCAGGAGTCAGGACTCTGGAGCCTTAGCCTCCTGGATACTTGGAATCGTTTTCAGTCAACATGTTTCTTTAATATGATATAATTCAATCACAAGGGATCCGAAACTTCCAACAAAACAACGTACACGAGCACGAAAACACCAGATGAACTTGAAAAAGGCCTTGGAACTTGCTTGGAACCAGAGCCAAGCGGTGCTCCATTTGTTTGTTTACAATAATTGTAGTGCTGATGTATTGTTTTATGACTCTAGCGGTCGGCTTATAAAAATGAAACAATTTAACCAAATCTATAAGGCAAGTAATATTTTTCTGAGAGAACTAAAATATTTAAAAGCTAAACACTATGAAATAAAGGAATCGGAACGAAAAAGCAACCTAAAAATCCAGCCGAATCACCGGCTCCTAAAACTGCGACAAAATCAGCACTTTTCCCCGCAACTCGTTGTCCAGACGTAAATATGCTGTTGCATGATTATCACTAACAAGTGGCAACAAATGCTACTTTTTACATACTATCCACTTTCACCCGGATATAGAATGCATGTGTTTTGATCTCATTATCGCACCAACACAGTTGTGCGAGATACTTACACAAAGTATGATGTTACACGTTGATGGTATTCATCTGGGACAGTGATAATATATTAATAAGTTTGTTCAAAAAGTAATGATAGCTTTTGGAAGACTTCGTCAGCCTGTCAGAGCTCTAAAAATGCATACAAACGACCAAAATAGAAAATAAAATAAACAAATATTGTTCGTAAGCTACCATTGCAAAGTAGATCAATCAAGATAGAGCTGGCGTAAACAATCCTTGCAATACAATTGTACTAACCGTGCTCAAGTTAAATCAAAAGATGTCTTCAGGTATCGCCTTTGATACAATTCACTAAAACTTCTTTTTAAGCACATTGTAAAGTAGCAGTGAAAGAATGAGAAAGCATGAGGCTGGCCCCACCACCCAAATCAAAATTCAAGCTCAGCAGTTTGCAAATCTGCACACAACTGCCCAGAAAGCCCTTTCAGACTTTTCCATGCATGATGAGCGGATTTTTATGCATACGATAGTTATTAATACTTCGTCAGCACAATTCTAAACTCTTTAAATGAAGAGAGAACACCAATGAACCCCGCGCGAAACCACAGGCCGCATTGTGTATAGATATTACGCTCAATGTATCGAAACGCGAGCGCCAGCTGCGCCGCGCTTGAGCGCAGCCATATCCTGGGATAATTTTCGGTATATAGTTGTAACCTCTCAGTTCTAGTTGTTTTTCTAGATGATATAGTATGATTCTAGTATATACCAGGAAAAACTTTGGAGTACCCGACTCTTTAGTGCCCTGGGGACGATCTATGTAGTCTTTCTTCTGCGTTGGATCATGTAGGGCCCAGACGGAACTGAAGGGGTTCGGCTGAAGTTGTCACACATTGTCACCCACTGACGGCTGTTTCCGGCCGGCCCGGAAGGCCGGCGGCGCCGTTACAGCGACTCTACGTCTGCTGACGGTGTCCCGGAGCCAGCTGTGATCGCCGATAGGTCAGCACGGCGCGGAGGTCCGACGGCCGCCAGCTATCACAATAAGCCCGCCGCACACGGAAAGCCGCGTCACACTGGCCGAACCGTTGGGTTGTGGGCTGTGCTCGGCCACACGAGTCGTTCCAACAGACCGCTGATCGATGCCCGCAAATTTTCCCCCACAAATCTATAGAGCACCGCGACAGTGTGCACTGTGCATGCTTGCAACTTTGTTGACTGAGGCAGAGAAGAAGCGTTCTGTAACACTGTAAACTGAGCAGACAAGCGCCGGTCTCATCATTTTGCACAATGCAGCAAATCAAATGGTATGCACCATGATGCTCAGTCATACATAGTATTTAACCCTCGCCGGTACAGGGGAGGGGGGGGGCGGTTGCCGCCCCCTCCCCTCCCCCATAGGATTTTTCGCGATAGCTCAGAATACGCCGGCGATAGAGAGCTGAAACTTGGAATGCCTAACCTCTGATTCAAGCCGGACCTTGAGACACCAACTGCATTTTCATGTCGGGTCAGGTCACTGACCTATGACGTCATAACTGAACCTCTGCACTGTTCTAAAATGTTGCAACTTTCCAACGCCCTAAGTAACAGAAGAGTATTGGCAGGGAGAAGATAGGACCTGGACCTGTCCTCCAGAGGTCCCACAACTTGTATATCTCGGTGACCCAAGGCACAGGTTCGGTTTTTGATAAATAAAATCGCAAAAATGGCCGCAGAGCCGCTATATTGCCACCATCGTGTTCGCTTGGCTCTGACGTGTCGAGTGACATACTTTTTGTTCGGGTGAGGTCAACTTAAAGTGTTGACCTCAGGTCAATGTCAGATCAGAGCCCTTCAGGTCACGAAGCTGGTTGAAGGACGTCATATCGCATATCATTTGATTCGGCAGGTCTTCGCGAGTCCAATGCACAGTGGGCGATCCATCCGTTCTAGCGCTTCGGGGACCCAGAGTACGATATCGGAAAATGTAATCAAACAATAATTAATTGTGTAGCCACTAGCCAGATATTCCATCATGTCAAAAATGATACCATTTTGAAAGGCTGTTCCATACCATGGGCATTCAAATACGATGCAATGCAATCACGAAAGACATATCATTTACCCGGGTCACGAGCAGAGATACCGGTCTCTGCTCGTGACCCGATCCTCATATTGTGTGACCTGGAAATTATGAACGGTGCCCAAAATGCGTTTCAATATTTTTTTCGTGCAAAGTACTTTGTCAAGAATCATGCATGCCCAAAAACAGTGTTTCAAAATTCATTATATTTTGTAGATTGTTTGCAATAAACCCTTTCAAAATGCATCACGCATATACTGCATGTAAGGCTTTTGCAATGCGCATCTCTTGCTGTCTGCGAGATCCGGCAACAACAATACCATTACATAGAAGCTTAATCCTTTGGTCTTAGTACCCTGCTAATATTTTCTACTTTTATTTGCTTTTCTCATAGTTTATTTGTGTTTTTCTTAAGCATTTACTAGCCCGCTCTCTGGGGTAGGTATGTACGTCAGCTGGTGAGTGGTGGTGGTTCAGCCCACGCAGATATCTCGAGAACTGCCCGGCCGAATCACAAACAACGTTCGATTCCTCTCATTATTCAATGCATAATTGAATATTATCAATCAAAATAGTCTGCAATTGGGGCTTACAGGAACCAAGAATACTCATATGAACATCGTTATTTTAACATCAAATTTCGCAAAATGCTTCATATGCTGTAGGGGTCAAAATCCAAAGTATTTGAAAACCCGAGATAACAGTTTTATAGCTCATTTGATTTAATTGTACACCTTCTTTGTATCAAGTCTTTTCACTCCCTTCAAAGGTGTAGGAGTGAAAGCCTTTTCCGCAAAATCTTTTTTGTGTCGAAAATGGCACGAAATGGCGTCATTCTGACGTCTTTTGTGGCCAACCTATCATAGCCTCTTAATTTTGTCTGTCCCAAGGGCCAAGGTGGTAAGCTGATGGCTGGAAGGTTCCTAAAAGTTTGGTAACGCTATCTGCAACGCTTCAGGAGATTTTGATTATCGACAGAAAAAGAGAGGAGGCCATCTCACTCTCCCGCTACGGGGCGCGGGTAACTGCATGGCCTAGATACAACTGCAGCCTATAATTTATGGCATAATTTCTGGCATGACCTTCCATAACACACGGTTTTATATGTTCTTCTTGGCATGAATATCCGTTGACATTCTTCTAAGACAGATGAATTTAGACTATAGTCTGCTTTTATTCAAGAGGACTCTGGCTCCAAGCACTTAGAAACATTTGCTTAATTTGCGTCTACATGAATCATGAAATAAAAATATTAAAACTGATTAACTGATATTTGTCCTTCACATGTGGCAAAATATGGGTCTGACACTGATTTCAAAAGTAAAATGCAGGCGGAAGTAGGCGGAAGGATTGCAAATTGCAATCGTGTTCGATTTTTGTGCCCCGTCACTCGTGTATAGCTGAGTAGAGCTCTCTAGACGACCGGCAGCTGCTAAAAAACGGGCTATAGAATGCTGAAATCGCCCACATGTGCAATGGTTGCTGTCCCGACTCCTTAGCTCTATGTATATTGTATTTGATCAGGAGTTATTGACGAAAAACTCTTACGACTCTAGTGACGGCATAAATGACGTCACACAAAATCAACAATGAAAAAGTAAAGCATCGGACCTTACAAAGATATTACGATTCCAAGCGCTTGAAATAATTTTAGATCATTCCCAGCGTCAAAATAACAGTTTTCACATTACCTTATGACTTATCATGGTAAGGTCCCGTGACCGACCTGGCCCCATGTGACCTTTTGGAAAAGTCAAAACGCTATACGGCTTCGAGAAAAAAAAAACTACAGGAGGCGCTGTAAAGCCTCCTCCTTCCTCAAAAAGCTCCAGTCGTGCAAGGGCCTTCCTCCAGTTCGGTCAGGGCATGTAGGTCTATGTACTTTGTGTATGGAACCCGTTACGCGATTGTTTTCTGTACACGTGCCACAGTGGCGGAGGTGCGGAGTGCTGACCCCCCCCCCCCGCCCCCCTCTGACAGGAGAGGGTCGCGTTCATCGTGCGCCGCAGCGGCGTCTCGGCAACAGAGGTGTGCGGATCGCTGGTGGACAGCTGTCACTTCACAGCGGCCCGCCGGTGGTCGGTGCGACTGCCACCGCCGTCCGCGCCCCCCTACCACCGACCGCAGCGGCCCGCGGTAGGTCCGGATCGCTCCAGCACTCCCCAGCACTGCAAGAAGGCCGTGTGACCGTTGATGACCTTAGGTGACCTAAATATTTTATCTGATCAGAATGAGTACCATTACTGATTCTGCTCAACGAAACTTGGAGTCATGTCTATGTTTGATTCGCAACATTTTGTTCGTGTTCAGTGATAAGGAACTGAATTACCTTTGGCCCGGTAAGGGAGCTACTCACACGCTGTTCATTCCTGAAGGCAGGGCACGGCCAGCCGCTGAAGGTGCTGCAACTGGCAGACGTCCACCTGCAGCTCGACTACGCCTACGGCAGTAACGTCAACTGCAAGAACAAGCTGTTCTGCTGCAGAGCCAGAGACGGTACGTGCAGCTGTGGCGAGCGGACGCAAGGAGCGGTCACAGACCTGCAATTCTCCTATTCAGTGTGTCAAGTTTACCTGTATCTCTTTTTTAAGTTTACCTGTATCTCGACGCTTGAGAGCGTCTAGAATTACATACCGTTTTTTTTTTTTGTCATCTGCTGGCAATGTTGTTTTTCATAAGCTATTCTGTGGTCTTCTGGCACAGGAACCAGTCTGCTTTAGTTTGTTTTCCTTATCCGGTCGATTTACTGTTTGATCTACTGAAAGGAGGGTAATCAGCAGTAATCCATGCACCGTGCCACTTCTGCTCGAAACATGATTTGGTGTTGAAACGAATGACATCCATGAGCACCATTTTGGCTCAGTAGGTATTTGAATATTTGGCACATAAGTGAGACAAAAATATTTAAAATAAGAACATACGTGTTGGTTTCATTCACGTGCTCTATTTTTTATTCTTTTTTTTATAACATGGGACGTCTAACCCAATCATCACTATCGTTTGACATCGGCAAAAAAAGCAAAAACGTCTTGCTTAACCCTATTAGTGGCAGGCTCCTGGCTACCCCTATTAGTGGCAGGGGGGGCTGTTTACGACCCCCCCTTGATATCTCGAGATCTAACGGGCCGATTTTCAAAATTCAAACGGCATTCGATTTCGCTCAACGTGATCTACATTTCTAAAAAATAAAAATTGAAAAAATGTCAATAGGGGGGTAGAGGGGGGTAAAAACAGGCAAATTGCAGATACATTTTAGACTGTTTATCACGGCCAGGTTTCTGAACCAATCTTAACGCAACTTTTGCCGATCGATAGAGAATGAACCAGGAATTCACATGGATCCTAAAAATATGCATTTTCAAAAATCATAGGCGGATATAGATCATTGAGATTGGGGGTACACAAAAAGTATAGTAAATAAGGTTTTTGTTGGTACTGGTTCTAAAAAGGGTGGTAATGGTCTTGTTATGTTACAATTTTCTTATGAGAGAACGACTACAATTGTATTGGTCATGCATAGGCGGTGTCAGGGCACCTATGTTGGGAGGTAAAACATAACCCCCCTTTTTGGACGCCTGGATCCGCCTATTATAGCAAAAACGTGACAAAAGAGGATGCACAATAACTGTACCGGGTGGCCCAGAAAAAACGTTCCGAACTTTGGAGGCCTATATATCAAATACGAGTACAAATAACGAGCCAAAATTTTCATCAATTTTGCGTCATTTCTTTGCGCATTGGTATGCCAAGTTATAACACTATGTCATCATTTTCAAGCTGGCAATCTTGAGTTGAACTAAGCAAGACGTTTTTGCTTTTTTTGCCGATGTCAAACGATAGTGATCTGATTGGGTTAGACGTCCCATGTTATAAAAAAGAATAAAAAATAGAGCACTTGAATGAAACCAACACGTACCTTCTTATTTTAAATATTGTCTTACTTATGTGCCAAATATTCAAATACTGAGCCAAAATGGTGCTCATGGATGTCATTCCTTTCATTACTGTATGCCTGGCCTATTCAAATACATTAGCCTGAGAGGTGTGGTAATAACTGGTGTAAGCAAAGTGACCACGGTCAAAAACGAATTACCAAGTCAACATTTTGGGATGTCCTCGTTCAAAAAACGGTTAAGAGCTTCGGTCTAGACAATTATTTTATCGTTGGCATACAGTAAAATACATACCAAACTCGGCCGGTGATAAATTTTCAAGACCTCAGTCCTTACTGATTTTTGAACTCGGCCTTCGGCCTCGTTCAAAAATTCAGTAAGGACCTCGGTCTTGAAAATTTATTTACACCGGCCTCGTTCAGTATTATATAACACCAAATCATGTTTCGAGCAGGAGTGGCACGGTGCATGGATTACTGCTGATTACCCTCCTTTCAGTAGATCAAACAGTAAATCGACCGGATAAGGAAAACAAGCTAAAGCAGACTGGTTCCTGTGCCAGAAGACCACAGAATAGCTTATGAAAAACAACATTGCCAGCAGATGACAAAAAAAAAACTGGTTGAAAAGCTACCTTTTCCCAGGAATGTCAGCCAGGAAAGCATTTGAGCCATAAGATGGTTAGAAAACTGGAAACTTCTTCCGATGCCGCTGGCACAGAGCCATCGTGGTTGCCTGAGGGAATGTGTCATCCTGAGACCCGAACCATCAATGAGACTAGCTGCCAGTAGAAGTCATGGCTCTAGGCCGCGGTGCCGCGGGGTGAAAGTGACTCGTTCACTCACATTTTTTAGTAAACATCGGAGCAAAAAAGTAATTTTTACATGACATGCTTGAAACACGAACCGTTAAAAAAGTTATTTACCGAACACCATGAAAATCACACCATTTACTGAAAATGTGTGTCGCATTGACTATTCGAAGTTTTCAATGTTGTATCTTTATCACTTTCTGAGAAATATTGATTTAACCCTCGCATGTGTAGGGGGGGGGGGGGTCGGATGGACCCCCCCCATGGTTTTTCGCGAATAACTCGCGTAAAAAGCGGCCGATCGCGACGAAACTTTCAGTACCCTCGCATTGATCAATTTTACACCTACCCTGAAAATTTCATGACCCTGACCCAAATGACCTTTGACCTGTGACCTCTTTTCCGAGACCATGTTTGGCCGGAATCGCGATTTCGCGCATGTCGGCTCGCACTAGCCGCGTGTTTGCAAGCTTTTCGTGGTTTCAAACGTTCAAACATGTGATTTGATGTTACTCCCGTGTGTGTCAAGGTCACCTGAAGGTCAGGTCAGGTCATTGACCTTTGGTGACCTCGGGTGACCTCGGGTCACTTTTTCGAGTTTTACATGTTTCTAGGCTAGTTTTTGGAGCTGAATTCGAATTTAGCAACCATTTGAACATTTACGAAGTAGTTTTGGTGACTTCGTAACATGTTACGAAGCTGTCAGAGGCGGTTGACACGTACTACGAATACCCGTCACGACGCCTACTGGTTGACCTGACCTGACCTGACCCGACCTGGTCTAAATGCTTAAAGACATCATCTGTGATCAAAACTAACACGATATTCGTGATCAGCACCCCGAAAAACCCCTTAGCAGCCACACTTTACGACTTTCTAACAGGTCCCGATTTTCCCGACTTTGGGTCATTGACCTGACCTGGAAGGTCAACCAATGACCTAGGACCATAAAATTGGGTATCATCGGCTTCCTCTCGCCACGGGCAACACGCTCGTTTTTTCCGCGAAGCTCTAGCTCGATCAGGGGCCAAACGGCAAGGGGGGGGTCCAACCGACCCCCCCCCCTACACATTAGAAGCTGGCAAACGCCGCACACATGCGAGGGTTAAAGTTGGGAACGTTTTTTTTTGGGCCACCCGGTATATGTTATCACATGATACCTTTCATTCACTGTTCGTAAAACTGGTGCAGCATCGTGATCTTCGCCCAAATGACTCGCTTCACGAATAGGACCCCCCAATTCCCAGTGCTCTGGAGCCGCCCCTGGTAAAGTTATGAACTTGAAATTTTCAGGGAATGTGCCCAATTTAGTTTTAGGAAAAGTCAGAAAATTTCAGCATCGTAGCTTCAGCGGTTTCGGAGATATTCCCGAAAAACCTGAGGGGTGGATAAAAACACCCCCCCCCCTGCCACTAATAGGGTTAATTCAACTCAAGATTGCCAGCTTGAAAATGATGGTATAGTGTTATAATTTGGCATACCAATGCGCAAAGAAATGACGCATACTTGATGAAAATTTTGGCTCGTTATTTGTACTCGTATTTGATATATAGGCCTCCAAAGTTCGGAACGTTTTTTCTGGGCCACCCGGTACATTCGCCCAAAAGAGGCTCCTCTCAATTTTCTCCGCAAAACTGACCTGACCCGTGACCAATATCAAAATTCGGAGATAGGCATTTCTACATATTGCTACTCTTATCAATCGTAAAAAGTTTCCAGACATTCGTTCAGTTGGCGTAGCTGTGACAAGCATTCCAGCTTTTTCTGCCGATATCAATATTTTTAGGCATGCGTTTTATTGGTAGGTATAGTCTTCACGACGGCCATCTGGTACACATTTGGTACAGATTAGGTGCAGATTTGGTGCAGATTTAGTCAAATTAGATTCATTGTGTTCCTTAAACATTATCAGTTGGGGTTGCACATATGCTTATATACCTCATTTTTGAAATGTTCAGACCTTATTTTCGATTAAAACTATGAAATAAATGCATGCTATGAAGATATTTGTCGTTAAAGAGAGTTGTTGCAGATTTGGTCAAGTTAGGTGCAGTCGCCAGATAGACGTCGTGAAAACGGCTATAGTTGCTCCTATTACTCGCTGAAACTGTTATTGCGATCGTTCAGTTTGTGTTCCTATAACAAGCGTTAAATTTCTTTTCTGAGTTAAGGTCATTTGACGTGACCTGGTGACCTGACCTTGAGTGGCTTGGATCTGATTTTTTTTTTTTTGCGAAGATACCTAAATGTATAAATACGAGTTCCAGAACTACTGGCATAGACCCGGGAACAGGGGGGGGGGGGCAGCGGGGGCGCTTGCCCCCCCCCCCCCAACTTGGGAGCCGAGGGGGCGGCGCAGTGGCGCAGCCAGAGGTCTGGGAGTGGGGGTGACATGGCTAATGAAAGGGCCCCCTGACAGATCGGGCCCCCCCCCCAAAAAAAAAATATAATGGATTATACCATTTATATGGTTTATCACTGGGTGTAAGACATGATTTCTTACCTTTTTTTTTTAATAAATTTAGTCCGAACCTTTTGATAGGAAGGATTCACAAGGACAGAGCCACCGCTAAGCGAAGCTTGTTGCGGTGACCCTGCCCTCTACCCTCCGATCGCGCAATTCCGGTTCTATGGCAGAATTTGGAGTCCAAAGTTTAACGTGCGCACATAGCCGCGCACGGCCGGTCCCCTCACTGACTTCGCCTGGCTACGGCCTGCCACCAACCGCAGCCATACCTGTCAGGAGGCCCATAAATGTCAAGCGCCCGTCGCGCTTCGAACCCGGACTGTTATAACCGGGAACGCGTGCTCTCACCACGCGGAGTCCAACGCTCTACCAACTGAGCTACGGGACCGGCTCAAACCCTGTACTTTGACTTAAATTGACAAGTCTCCAATGGGGCCCGACAGATTCAAAAAGGCTCAGTCCGTTTAAAGACAGACTCCAGTGATATAGCCCGTTCAAAGCAAAGATAATCGTTCATTTACGTTGGTGTTTAGAATGACTTTTCAGTCTTTTAAAGTCTAATAATTGTTTTGTCTACACTGTGTTCGGATAGGTCATAGGCCGCTATGTTTTTTTTTTAACCATAAGTCTGTTCTGCAGCGACCTTTTTTCTTACACCACACAATATCCTGACATACCTTTCAGCAGCTTTCAGAATAAGTTTCCCTTCCTTTGTCTGATGCCAGCGAATATATATACTGACGTCTGAAGAAACACTTCAACATTCATTTACATTCTTACAGAATACATATAAAACACATATCATAAGGCCATCGCGGCCACATAAGCCAACTCTTCTGCGGCCCGTCTGGCCAGGCCGGGACGGTGTCATAACATCGACGTAAACCATCCCGGCCCCGGGGAGATCTGAGGGATACCTCCCCTGGCCGGGGAGAGCTAGTGGATGCCTCCCCGGCGCTCCAGACGGGCCGCCAGCCCCCGCCCGCACCGCCCGGCAAAACCGGGGCGGGGCCGGGGCTATTACTAACTTTCTCACATTTTTGTACCACAGTGCATGGCTAATGAACTGAAGTCTACACTTAACGACCCAAGGTTTATGCACGCTGAAACAAGACACTTACAAAAGACACGTAGCATCAGAATGGTTTCATGATGCATAGCCATCGGTCGGGAGTTCGGGCTAGCCATGGCCGCGAGCAATCTGTATCGACTAAAGCTGGCTGATGCGGGTAAATTCCGCTCCAAGTCGTCTGAATGCCGCTCATCTGATCAGCGCTTGAGTACCCTCCTGGGCCTCTTCAGGTACTCGTCAACTACCTGTTTTTTTTTGTGATGCTTACAGTTGGGTGAACGTACACGAGTACCAGTCCCTCTAGCCGTTCTTCCTCCATGGCGGAGCGCGAGCTGTCCTTGACTTTTGCCAGGGCAGAAAACGTTCGTTCCGCCTCGCAGGCCGTTACTGGCAGCGTGCACAGCAGCTGCAGCAGAGCTCTGATATTTGGCAGGCTGCAGCTGCCAAGCGCCACCAGAGCGTCTGCCGGGCGATCCTGCATCAGCTTCTTGCCCCAGCGCGTCTTCCAACTGAGCAGTTCGCTGCGGAGACAGCTTGGTGACGGCAGGTCGCACTCGTAGGTGGCCGCTACGCGCAGCACCTCTTCCTCATCCATTTGATGGAGCCGCGCCGGAATCAGACGCTCCAGCGTTGTGACGAGGTCGAGCGATGAATGATCTGCTGTTTCCGGGAAACGCTCGTCCAGCTGGGTAGTCAGCCCGTCGATCAGTGGAAGCCACAAGTTTTTTCTGTAATGATCGCGAGGACCATCTGCAGGGACGTTGCTGCGATGCACTTGGCGCCCAACCACTCGGGGCGTGCTCACTTCGATACCAAGTGCGCTGCACCTGGCCACTGCCAGGTCATAGACGTCCGTGTCATACCTGACCCGAAGGGCTTGGATACCCTCCTTCGCGTCACGGACCATGCTGAGCGCCCGAGACGCGTCCATGTTTGGTGTCTGCAGGTGTCGCGACAACTCCAGTGTGATGGCGAATGTTGCCACGCAGGCCACCAGACAAAACACGAACGAGGACGTAGTCACAGCAGCAAGCATCCCGTTTGCAGTCGCAACCGTCTGTGTGTCGGCTGCGGTGCCTGCGACCTCCTGCAGTGCGGCGATGACGGCAGGCAGCAGGTCCAGGAGGCAGGAACACCATGACAGTGTCGTGCCGTTCTACCCACCGCGTCATGCATAGAGGCTTCAGGCGTCGCGCCGTCGCCTCAGGGCACTCACTGGCCACGCACCTTGCCAGCAAAGAGGCGCGGTTTGCTGACCTGCTGAAGAACGCGCAGACAGTTTGCAGCGTCCCATGCATGTTTGTGATCTGGCGCATCTTGATCGCCTTCATCAATGCCAGGTTGAGGCGGTGGGCCACACAGTGCGTATACACTGCGAGGGGTTGGACCGCGCGGATCTCTTTTTGCACACCTTTGATTGCTCCACTCGTTTGAGCCGCCATCATACCCCTGGCCCCTCAGCAGCCGCAACTCCAGCGAGATCTCTTCTAGCTTTTTCATGATGGCCGCCGCGAGGTACCGTCCGGTCGTTTCTGACGGGTTCATCAGAGCGACCACATCTTCTCGCACAACTGGAGTGGCATCGCTGTCGTCCGCTGTCATGTCCACGTAGCGGACACAAATGGCGAGCTGCTGCTTCGTGGACACGTCCGTCGTCTCGTCCGCTATGACCGAGAATATCCCAGCTCGGTGAACACGTTGGACGATGGTTTCGCTGACGAGCTTCCCGCATATTTGGATCATCTCGTTTTGCGTCTCCCAGCTCGTATGGGTGGCATTAGATGGAGCAGATACAATCCACCTACCCAGATTCGTGTCCCCGCTCGCGACACGAAAGCGCAATAGCGCCTTGAAGTTGCCTTCCTGTGGCTCGGCCTGGACGTCCAGGCTGACGCGGCCCGAGTCGCGGTGGCCTCGCAGTGCCATGTTCTGTCGCCCACATAGCAGCACTGTCTCTGCCACAGACTCCAGGGCCATGCGCTCCATTTCCTTCCGTTTCTGTATTTTTTCATTTTCTCCCTGCATAATCAGTTCAGCGATGTCCGGAGCACCAGAACGAACTCTGCGCAAAAATGCATCGGCCTTTTCCAACGAGAGGCAGTGGTATGGCTTAGATTGGTGCTCTTCGAAGGTCTCGCGCGCAACCCAGTAGCGTGTGAAAGGCTTCAGCACCAACGCACCCAGCTGCTGTGAGCGAGAGGCAAAAAGAACACAGATCTTACAGTAGGCTCCTTCCGATTCGGGGACCGCACTGTATGCCAGCCAGTTGTATGTGCTCAGGTGCTTGTACTGGAAACGGCTGCGGCGCCTCCCGTGTTCTTTCACCGGGAAGTCATATGAAGGATCGGGAATCCAGCAGTCGGTCAGGATCTCTTCTATGATAGTGGCATCTGAAGGTACGCAAGTCACGAACTTTCCAATGTCGTTTCGGTGGGCTGAAAGGAAGGGTATAGGACTTTGAGCATTGGTTTAGATTACGGCGCAGTATATATGTTACAGGCAAAGTGAAAACTCGGGCATTTTGCAAAATGCCTAGGCAATTTGCAAATTGCCTGGCACACCAGGCATTTTGCAAACTGCCTGAAATTATTTTCTCAGGCAGTTTGCAAAATGCCTGGCATCGAACTCACACCAGCGACAATGCGTAAGCATCATTGTAAGTGCCGCCAACAGGGGTTAATCACAAGCGATACGCACCAAGTGGGAGGACACACAGTGAGACATTCTCCGGGTAGCGCTGCTGAGTTCAAGGTCACTGAGCCCCAGGCAGCGCGAGCGGCCCGGCCGCCGCGCCGGCTACCGGGCGCCCGGCGCGGTTTTATCGGTAAACACGCGTTAAACACGGTTGTTTCTAAGAGCCTTGATGACTCTGGAAATACTTTGTGTGGATATTGATCAGAAAAGAATGTTCTTTCGATGTATGGTAGCTTGGTTGGCGAGCCACACGTCTACATTATTAATGCATTGTGACTGTGTAAAGATGAACATGCCCGTTGCATGTAAAACTTGTAATTTCTAAGGCCTAAGCGTCTTCTTATTACAAAGGTGTGCACGTGGGTCGTGGATGACGAAAAACTTGCTTTTCTGGAAAAGCGGAAAAGCCACATGCTCTTGTTGTCTATGGAATGTATCTCATCTCATTCCAATGCATTGCCAGTGTTTTTTAAATGCTGTTTTTCCTGAAATGTACCAAAAATGGCTGATTTCCCAAGATATAGACTATTTCTTTCCACGTGACACGTGATAAACAAAAATGTTTGTTGGATACGCTTGTCTCTGTTCTATCGATCGCTGGCAACCCCGTGTCGCTGCGGCCCTCTCTTGCCGTGATGTAAATAAGCACGGGAAGCGAAGAATGTCGGGTCAATATTCGACCGGTCGCCGCGTTTTTCCGCGCCCATGTATCTCTGTGCCATGCTCCGCGCCCCATCGCAGCATTCCTACACACGAACGGCTACAACTCCGTATACGAAAATTATAGGGAGACGTTGGCTCAATCTACACCATTCAGCAGTGGTTCCATCTCGACGGAAGTGGCGCAAGACGTGGGTATATTCGTAAATATTGAATGTGTTTGGGGCTCAGGCACATGGGAGCGACATGGTCAACGCCTGTGGTAAACAAAAGCGGTAAAATAAATCAATCACAACTCAGGCATTTTGCAAAATGCCTGACCCGCCAGGCATTTTGTAAACTGCCTAGGCACTTTGCAAAATGCCTGGTGGGTCAGGCAGTTTGCAAACTGCCTAGGCATTTCGCAAAATGCCTGGCGGTCAGGCATTTTGCAAATTGCCTGGGCATTTTGCAAAATGCCTAGCCGGTCAGGCATTTTGCAAATTGCCTAGGCATTTTGCAAAATGCCCGAGTTTTCACTTTGCCTGTAACATATACATATATACTTGTATGTTGGTGTGTGTATTACTTACTACTTTTTTCTTTGCTGATAAATAAGCACAAACATGAATAAGAAATGGTTATTTTCACCGCCGGGTCGATTTCTGCCATGGGCAATACGCATTGTTTCGAAGATCATCAGGGTCATAGGCCAACAGCACTTACCAGGATCCAGGCGCTGGCTGGTGGCCTGGTGCACGACTTCTGCCGAGTCACATGGAGGCGAAGAGGCAGCGACGGGGCCAGGATCATCAGGATCGGAGGCTGGAGCCGTGTCCGACTGAAATGGTTATGGAAGCTGAGGATACGCAACAGAGGAAGGATCACGCACAGATAATCAACAGCCGAAAAGTCAAAACATAGTTAGTCCACTTTTCATCGGAACAACCACCAAAATAGCCAATAGGCCACCTTTCGCAAGTGTCTCGTATTCCGTGATTGTCCATTTAATATAATTTCTGAATTGCGTGCTATCCAAAATGCACTTACCAAGCTCTGGCCGGTGGCCTGGTGCACGACTTCTGCCGAGTCACATGGAGGCGGAGAGGCAGCGACGGGGCCAGGATCATCAGGATCGGAGGCTGGAGCCGTGTTCGACTGAAATGGTTATGGAAGCTGAAGATACGCAGCAACAGGGACAAGCGTACGTACGTGCAGATGGACAGCCCGGGATCAAAGCATTGCTAGTCACATTCCATTCGCCTTTTACTCGCCAGCTTTGTTTCCCCCCCTAATTGTACCTCGATAGATCATCTCGATAGATAGGAGACAAGGAATAAATTGTATGTCAATCCCAACTTTCACTACCGCGTTGGCCATTGTTTTATGAATGCTGATTATATAGTTGTTGCTAGTTTACATCGTCTAATCAAATAGCTCAAAGTCAAGTAGAATCAACATAATACGTTAGGGTAAAACATTATACCCTTACTGATCCGTCCCCCTTTGAGAAAAACTGTGCTATTTTGGGCAGTTTCTTAAGCATCTGTTCTTGCTCATTTTTCCTCTTTCTTTTTTGAGCTCCAGAGAGCACCTTAGATGTTGTTGCGCGACGTGGTTCGCCTACTTGTTGCTTCTCCATCTGAAATGCAGTACAAAAAATCAGGCGTTATATATATATATATATATTTTACTTACGTTTTTACGCTATCTTCAAAAAACCTTAGGGAGGTTGCATCGACCCCCCCCCCCCTGGCCCTGCCAGGGCGAGGGTTAAAGCAAAATACCAATCGCTACGGCCTACGTTTCGTTGGGCGCAGCACGCTCAATTTTCCGGTAATGGAACAAGGCAAGATTGAGGCACTTGCGAATGGGTATTGTTTAGTTCTGACTTCTGCTTTATAGTTGGCAATTCCAAGAACATAATAAAATAATTAATGTAGATGTTTAGAGTGATTTTGTCTGCCATTTACATTAAGCAATTTTAGGTCGTTGCATCTATAATATTATGTTATTATGTTATATGTGTCTGGTTTTTAAAACCCGTTATGAAAATAGAATGCAAGACTTATAGTATTTCTCGACATTGAAATAACAAGTGCGTGTTCAATATCAAGGCTTGTCCAAGGATAGGGATGCAATATAACCTTAGTTCATGGTTGCCTATGGGGTAACCTAGACTGGAGCGTATCAGCTGTTTGACAAACGCCACATTTCGTAAACAAGCCGTTCTTTGCCATGAAAACGACGGCGGGCTGGCGA